GGCCAGCAAAACTAGCATTGAAACCAGTAAAACCAGCATTGAGATCAGCAAGTCTAGCATTGAAACCAGCACTGAAACCACCAAGACTATCACAGATACAAGCAAGACCAGCATTGAAACCAGCCCTGAAACCAGCAAGACCATCATAGATACCAGCAAGATCAGCATTGAAACCAGCAAGACCAGCATTGAAATCACCAAGACCAGCTCTGAAACTCTGGGTAGCGCTATTTCCTGCCAACAAGCTAACCTCGTCTGGGTCATTACTGTGTGGATTTTCCATGTTCTCCTCGTGTTCGCGTGGGTTTCCTCCGGGTGCTCTGGTTTCCCAAAGACATATGCTATAGGTGAATTAGGTAAGCTTAATTGCCTGTTGTGTATGTATGTAGTGTTACTCAAAGAGCATCTGCTGCATAAAGCATATGCTGGATAAATTGGCGGTTTATTCCACTGTGGCAACCCCCGATTAATAAAGGGACTAAGCTAAAATGAATAAACCAATCAATGACTTACAGTAAGTGGTCAAAATTTGCTGCAGGTTTTCTGTGAGGGTTGGATTTAGGGGTAGGGATAGGGTAAGGTCATATTATAAATCGTTTTTGGAGCATAAAATACCTTTCTTCTATGGAGAGTCCTCATAAATCACATATTTAAGTATGTGTGTGTGTGTGTGTGTGTGTGTGTGTGTGTGTGTGTGTGTGTGTGTGTGTGTGTGTGTGTGTGTGCAGAAACAGGGAAAGTGTTTTCTGGCTTCCTCTTTTATGGAAGACAGTGTCACACCTTTTCCGTCAGCCGTATGAGGTGAGAAGGTTGGAAGGAAGGACCAGACAGCAGAGCTGACACAGAGCAGCTTTCAAACAGCAACTTTAAGATCTCTTCCTGACAACATGAACTGACACAAAGTGGTCCCTTTCCTATTGGCCGACTCTAAGCAGGGACTGCAAGCCAACTGCACTGACAGAATATGTGATCCGTGAGCTCAGAAAAGGTATCAGATGTTCCCACTCCTGCGTTTGACAGCTAAGAGCTTCACTCTGAGATACAAGGACAGCAACGGGTCAAAACAGATGGAGGCTTAGAGGAAAGAAAAAAAGAGAGGAAAAAAAAACAACTTCAACTCAAAGTTTCCAACAACAACTATCCTCTCAGAGGAAAAAACTGAGCTCTGAGGCAGAGCGTGAAGGACTCGTTGAGATGCTTTGCTCGTGAGGAACAGAGGCACAAAAGCAAGGTGAAGGAAACACATACGGTTAAGAAAGACGCTCTCAGCAAAAGAAGGAGAATAAAATATTTAATGGTGAAAAGCGAGAATCCCGCCATAATGCAGTGCTCCCTTAGTGTTGAATGTTTGCTGTTTGTAGAAATGAATCCAGTAGAAAAAAATTATAATAATACAAACTAAGTTAATATTTCAAAACCAAAGTGGATAAAAAACAAATGGTCATAATAGAATCTAAAAAGGTTTCTATTATCCAAAAGAATCTGATGAAATAATTTGATTTGTGGAGCGGAGGCATTGACCTTATTCTTAGAAGTGTGCCTGTTTTTTTCAACTTTTTTACTTCCAATTCAGTCACCTACAGAAGAAAAAACTAGTAATAATAAACGGTAGAAAATGGCGAAACCGCTTGCTCTACAAACAAGTGTGTTCATGACTAAACATAAAAAGTAGAATAAAATAATAATAAAAGATTAGTTTGCAACAGAAAGCAGCATAACAAGCCGTTTTTAACATCTAAAAATCAATGGAAGTGAATGAGACTGAAGTCTCAAGCCAAGTCTTCATTTTAAAAACCATGTTTAAATGTATACCTGATCTTGTCCCTAAAGTAGTCAGCGAGTTGATAAATTTAGCAGTGATGGGGCAAAGACTAGAGGGGCAGTAAGTGGGAAATGCAGAACCGCTATGGGTCAGTCATCCTTTTCAGTCATGCCTGTTGATTTAAAATTACAATCAGAACTTCCTTTTTTTCTGTAAAGCTAAAAAGAATGGTTGACATCTTTACAGCAATGTGAACATTAAGTATTATTCTTTCTGGTTGGTCAGGTTTACATTTCTATTTAGTATGCAGATTGAATTACATTTTGTGTTTATTTTATTTTTTTTAATGTAAAGCCTAACCAGGGACAAGAACTGCAAATTAGCTTTATGCTATATGCCCTATGTACGCGACATCGGTTGTCTTTGTATAAAAATGTCAAGTGTATAGTTCCTATTAAATAAACAAGCAAATAAATAAATAAAGAGATTCTAATGGCTGAGCCCTTTTGTACATGAAGAATAAGGACAATAAAATATATATATAAAAAAAGAACTGTAAAATCTATATTCTTAATCTTGACTGACATCCTCCTGATTAGACTCCTATTTTGTCTCTTGCTAACCTCTTCTGTCTTCTCTTTCGTCTCTCTAATAGTTATTTTAATAGCACTACATCAAAGTTTTCATGCACGTTTCACACCATCTAGACATAAACTAGGCAAAGACTTGAACAAGGTAAAAGGAATGCACTACAAATGATCCGTGTCCATTGATGAAAGCAGTTTTATGCTGTCTTTGTTTTAATAGTAAACTTCATTGTTTACTTGTTCTAGACTGATCAATGCTCTTGTTCTTGTATCGATCAAGTACTACTGTTCAAAAGTTCAAAACAAATGCTTTGCAAATTCACTCTTAACTCTTCTTTTGACTAGGGTTGCATTGTTTACCAGTACTTCAATAGCCCCACAATACAATGGCTCCAACGTACTAGCAGTGCCACTGTAGTTTGTAAATGGTAGTATCATCATTAATGGTTCTAGTCTATAATAGTTAATCTTGCATGTGGAAAAGTCACTAAAATGCTCTCTGATTTGTGATTACTTTACTTAAGTTGAATTTTAACAGTCTGCATTAAGACTGCAAAACTGTGTAGAATTGGTGCCTTCTATGCTATTGCATGTTTTGTTGTGGTTCAGAAACACATTTGAATCAGTTCATTTCTGTTACAGTGAATAGGATTTAGGTACAATGACCGCAACAGTCTCTTAAAAAAGAGCAACTCACTAAAGTGATTTTTTAATTACTTTGGATTTTTACCTGATAAGAATAAAAAAAAAAAAAATAGATGAGAAAAACTGAAAACAGCAACAGTAAACACAATTTTTTTCACTTCATATTTTGTTAAAACAAATCTCTTCTTATAACAAATTTTGCTTGGTATAACTTGTATCTTACTTTTAAAGTATTTTTGTTGGTCAGTTATATACAAAATAAATGGAAAAAACAAATAACATAAGTAGTCATGACATATGGTGTCATGGTGGTGTCTTATGGTGTGGTCAATTATTTATTTATTTATTTATTTACTTATTATTCCTGCAATAGCAACAAAACAGTCCCAGTATACAGTTGAATTCAGAATTATTAGCACCCCTGTTTATATTTTTCCTCCAATTTCTGTTTAACAGAGAGAAGATTTTCTCACCACATTTCTAAACATAATAGTTTTAATAACTCATTTCTAATAACTGATCAATTTTATCTTTGCCATGATGACATTAAATAATATTTTACTAAATATTTTATCAAGACACTTAGATACAGCTCAAAGTGACATTTAAAGGCCTAACTAGATAAATTAGGTTAAACAGGCAAGTTATTGTATAACGATGCTATTCTGTTCGTTCTGTAGACTATTGAAAAAAAAATGCTTATATGGACTTATAATTTTGGCCTTAAAATGTTTTTTAAAAATTAAAAAATGCTTTTATTCTAGCCACAATAAAAAACAATAAGGCTTTCTTTAGAAGAAAAAAACATTATCAGACATACTCTGAAAATTTCCTTGCTCTGTTAAACAGCATTTGGGAAATATAAAAAAAAAAAAAAAAAAAAAAAATCAAAGGGGGGCTAATAATTCTGCCTTCAACTGTACAAATAAAACGGAATGTCTGTAAAAAGAACAGGTTTTCAATAATAAGGGAGAGGCTGCAAGGTGGCGAAGTGGGCAGCACGTTCGCCTCAGCAAGTAGGTCGCTGGTTTAAGCCTCGACTGGGTCAGTTGTCATTTCTGTGTGGAGTTCTCATGTTCTCCCCGTGTTCATGTGGGTTTCCTCAGGGTGCTCCAGTTTCCCCCACAAGTCCAAAGACATGCGGTACAGGAGAATTGGATAGGCTAAATTGTCGGAGTGTCTGTGTGTGAATGAGTGTGTATGGATGTTTCCCAGTGATGGGTTGCAGCTGGAAGGGCCTCCGCTGCATAAAACCTATTCTGGATAAGTTGGCGATACTATTTAGTATCGTGATACTTCAACTAGTATAGCATCATGGCCTAAATTTATGATATCATGACAACCCTACTTGTGACCTTTATCGATTAGCAAAAAATATCCCAAAAAAAAGAATCACATAAACTGTATAATTTATATATGACATAGGATTGTCTTTTGTACTGTGTATAATTGAAGCCTTGGTGAAATTTGCAATAGAGCCAATCAATCGATTTCCGTCAAGCTTTCCCACCAGGGCATCAGTTAAATCCACACACAATGGTGATGTCTGGCAGTGGAAACAACGCAAACTGCAGGATGTGTTCCTGTTACTTCAAGATTAGAGGGAATTTACCCTTATCTTGAACCCTGCCTCTAACAGACTTCAAATCGGCTTTTAATGGAGTACAACTTAAGAAAAAAATCAGTCCAGCTCTCTCTTCCTCTCCGTCTCTCGACGTCTCTAAAAGAACAATACTGTCAGACTACTTGTAAACAATCCAGACAAGCACACAATTGGCAACGCACATCATTACGGCTTAATAAATCACTCAACGCAAACCCTGCAGATTCCTCACCCTGCAAACGCGAAGAGCATTTCAAGCATTATTGGCCTAAAATTAAAGCCTGTTTCCTTGGCAACAATAAACCACTTGCACTTTGCTTCATAGATCTGTCTAATATAAAGGGTTTGAATCAGGATGTGACAGGCAGGGGTCTCCGTGTGACAGGATTGTGGGAATGCTTACTGAAATCTCCAGTCAGGAAGACGGCCTTCGCTCCCGGTGCCCATTCCCTAAAGAGCAGCCCGTTGTTGGATCGCCGCTGAATTCCAAATGACTGGTAACTCAGTGTGAAGCGATCAAAGGTTCCTTCCGCCTCCTCCAACTGTGCCAGACGCTCTGCAAACTGCTTATATCTGAAATATTTTAATACACAGAGAAAAAAAAGACTTAATAAACAGATATTATGGACCCAAGCTTCATTTTCTACAGCTTCAGACACAACAAGATCACTCAGATGTAGATTTCACTGTCAGCTTTGCATCACAGAGAAAACTTTTCATTTTAAAGTTATTTTGCACAGAATATCCGGCTAATGAGTCACAGGTACAGAGATACACAAACAGTTCCTTTTAACAAAGTTTGTCGTACTGACACACAAGCCCTAACACAGGGATTAGAAGAGTTTGTACTCTTTGGCAAGGGTTTTCAAAGTGTTTCTCGCAATTCTGCTCTCTCAGTCTTCCCATTTTTAGTGAAGCGATGTGATAATTTGGATGTACGTCTCAGATAAACTAAAACACCAGAATAATTTACTGTCAGACATCATAACCACATAGATAGATAGTTGGCTGAATGTTTAATGAATAAGACACAAAATGGGAAACGCTTCAGGTGTTTCTAATTTGTCATTTGATTGGTTGAATTAAAGGATCTCAAGTCAAGTCACTTTTTTTTCTACAGTGATTTGTACAACACCTAGATTGCATCATATGCAGTATCTTTTCAGAGAATGAGTTATGAACAATAGAGTTGTCAGGCATACACTTTTAATCTAAGTCTGTTTAGTGATGATTTACCATTGAAAGATGTGATTCAACTGTATGGTAGCTCTAATGACCCCAACTTAACAGATAATTCATCCAAAAAAAAAAAAAAAGAAAATTTACTGCCTATTTACTTTTCCTCACATGGTTTAAAACCTTTATGAGTTTCTTTCATCTTTTGAACACAAAATAAGATATTGTGAAGAAAAACCTTTAACCATTGACTCCTATAGTAGGAAAAACACACAGAATAGAAGTCAGATATAATGGTTACAAGCTTCCAAAATTCTTTTAAAAATCATCCCTTGTATTTAACAGAAGAAGAGACGCATAAAGGTTTAAAAAAAAGTAAAAGGTGAGTAAATAATGAACTTTCCATTAAGCTAGCCAAGGGCAATTGTTGTAAGAAACCCAGATGAAATTGAGGGGGAAAAAGAGGCTCAGTCAGGGAACCAGTTTGTTGGTCAAGCAAGTAAACTGTATAGTGAAACCCTTTCTACAATTTTTGTGTAGGCTTGTATTTTACAATACTGTAAAAATACTCAAAAAAGTCTCTGTCAATGTTTTCAAACAATAACATTTAATTAACCAAAGTCACGCGAGTGGCGATTTCACATAGGTCACATCCATAACCTAGAGGTGTCACATCCATAACCTAGAGGTGTCACATCCATAACCTAGAGGTGTCACATCCATAACCGAGAGGTGTCACATCCATAACCGAGAGGTGTCACATCCATAAGAAAGTTTTTCCCTCATAAATGCAAAATATATAAAATAAAACAAAATCAAACATTTTTGTTCTATAGTGAGCAACTCTTATCCTTTTGATGATCATTATTTCTTTTGGCTTGCGCAGTTTAATTCAAAGAATTTCAACAAGTATGTTGTGAACTGAAAACTTGCAAACTTTTTTGGGCACATCCATACCGCATGCTTATTTCCTTCAATTAAAAAATAAAAAAAGTTTAAAGATTGATATTTTTCCAATCCCATAACTCTATGATTAGTTGTTTTGAAAAATATAAACATGTTTCACCATAATCTACATAGTGTCCTTGTGAATTTATGTTTTGAATTATTTATTATTTTATGACTATAGAAACTTTGGAAAATACAAGAGATAGAGAAATATATAAGCATAAATGTTATTTCTAATATATGCTACCCAAGTTACTGAATCTCAGATGTGTTCAATAACCTTAAAGTTCATGCCACACTGAGTCTGACATTTTTGTCTGAAATGTCTCCATGTAAAAAAAATAAATCCAACCTCACATTATGTCCATCACATTTCTGCATCCAAAAACTTCATCTGTTAGAACAATATTTGGACTTTTTTTTTTCTTCCATTTTTGTTTTTTGACATCCACAACAAGTGTTTTGAGAGGAGTTTTGACATTCGTATCCACCAGCCACTGAAATCTTATTTGTGGTCTGACGTGTTCAAGTATTTTGCCCTTCTTGTTTTTACCCAAAGCACTTTTTGTTCATATCTGTTCACTCAACTGAAAAATTAATAAGGATCAGTGTTCTCCTCCATGCTGTTAATTGACGTTTCTACCTGAAAGACTGTAATTGTGCTAACACTTAATGCAAATAGCCTCTGGTTAAGTGTTATTAATGCAAGCCCTTATTTTGAAAAATTAGAACAATATTTTTATGGTTGTCCCGCTTCATGTTGTTTCAGAAGACAAATTCAGAATTTAATCTCAAATGATGACACAGTGGAGATTAATCATCCAGGAAAGAATGTTGTTTTTGGAAAGTCAATATCCATAATGCAGTGTTCAATACCACTTCTAGAGAGCCACTGTCTTACAAATTGGAGTTCTTCCTAGATTCAACGAACTTGACAAGATGTGTATAGAACATTAGATGACTTTCAAATGTTTTTAAATAGAGTTGGAGCTAACCTTGAAGGATACCCTCGGCAAGTGTATTCCAGAAATATGCTGTGCAATTGGTTCAGTGTGTTTTCTTTCTTACAGAAACATCAAAACTTGACAAAAAAAATCCTTAAATCTGTCTTCATTTTAGAGCAGCCTGACTGGAACCAGGATAACAAAGACCAGAAATCAACACAGAGCATTACCAGTAATAATGTTAGTGACCAATGTTTTTTTTGTTAAACCAGTTTTGTTTATCCATTTTAAGAGTTCACTGTTAGCTGAGTGATCAGTAAAAGTGTCTTTGGAATGCTGTCCCGGGAATATACCTGCCAACACTCCCATTTTTCCCGGCAGTCTTCCATATGTCAGACTCATCTCCAAACCCCCACCACCCCACCCCCTGACCAAGTTTGATATGGTATTCAATTGCAGCGGCTGCCCGAATCCCTGTCCATAGTGCAGTTAGTAACACCACATTTCAACGGGAGAGAGCGGAGTCTGAGCTCAGGTAAGTCTCCTGTATTATGCTAGAAAAGAAGGGAAGGAGTCGGAGTGGATGGAGGGATTCTTCAGGACGAAGATGGCTAAGGTAAGGAAATCTGGCTATTTATGTGATTGGTATATCAAGTGATAGATAATGCAGGACCAGCAGTGATCAATCATAAGCACATGATTCTCTCAAAATTTGTTTATAAAAAGTTCACTTTGTTAAGGCTTGGGGTGGCACGGTGGCAAAGTGAGCAGTGCTGTTGCTTCACAGCAAAAGGTCGCTTGTTCGAGCCTCGGCTGGGTCGGCTTTCCCCCGGGTGCTCCAGTTTTCCCCACAAGTCCAAAGACATGTGGTATAAGTGAATTGAATAAGTTAAATCGTCCGTAGTGTATGTATGTGAATAAGGGTGTATGGGTTTTTCCTAGTGATGGGTTGCAGCTGGAAGGACATCCGCTGTGTAAAACATATGCTAGATAATTTTGTGGTTCATTCCACAGTGGCAAACCTAGATTAATAAAGGGACTAAGCCAAAAAGAAAATGAATGAATGAATGAATGTTTAGGCTTACATACAGTATTAGATTTCCTAATTAAAGATTAGGTACAATAAAAAAAACAAATAAAAAAAAAACAATATTTCTAAATCAAGTTAAGATTTATTTCCGTAACACAAACATTCCTTATTTAATATATCATAATTTAAGTTAGACCTAAGATGAGAAAAATTCCGTAATACACGCCGTAATACATAGTATTATTCGATATTGTAAATTGCCAAATATGCAGTACCATTTCTTAAAAATATTAATATTCTGGTAAAACTTTAGTTTAGGTCCCAATACACTTTATTAGCTAATGTTTTATTACTTGCTTATTATTAAGATATTAACTGTTTAATAGTAATTATAAAAGTATGACCTTATTCTGCATCCCTAATCCTACCCAAGACCTAAACCCAACTTCTACCTTACTAACTAGTAATAAAGAACTAATTAAGTGTTTATTAAGTTAGAAGTGTTAGTTAATGGAATGTTAAGACTGTGAATTGTGACCTCAACTAAAGTGTTATTAATATTTCTAGCACAATTTATAACTGTTCACACACACTTACACAGCAACTTTTATGGCGTTAACGATTTATATAAATGTGTTCAGTGATCAGTAACCTAAAGACACCTAACATTGCCTTTCCTTCAGTCAAAGGTGTAGCAAAAACACTGTTTTTGTACATTTTCCAGTGCTTGCCATTTGCCATGCCTGGCGATCTATTTTTACATGGACTATAACTGAGGTAAAAGAGTGTGAGACCTCTGAGCTTTAGCTGGTGTTTGAATGTAAAGAGTGTTGGGCCCAGCTGGGACTTGTGTGTGCATATTCATGGCAGCATTAGGAATAATTACCGATGGGAACCGCTCATTTGGGTTCCTCTGGGACTTTAAAGTGCTCATTAAAACTTGAGGAACAACAGGGTGATGGGTGCCGTCAAGTGGCCTCTCCAACACTGCTTTTAATCACATAGAAAGAAATAGATAGGAGAGAGAGAGAGAGAGAGAGAGAGAGAGAATGAGAGAGAGAGAGAGAGAGACAGACAGACAAAAGAAAAAAAAAACTTGAAATTTCTTCCTGGCGATTCCCAGATAAGCAGAAACTACCAACCCACTCGACCGATTACCAGTTTGACAGTTAACATCCCAGTCACAGATGTACAGTCACAACCTGTCAGGTGAATGAGCAAATCTACTTGCCTAGTTTTCCTGAACTGTGACCATCGGAAAAAACCTGACATTTATGGAATGCTTTTATGGAATCACGGACAAAAGAACTAGAATTAATAATCCAACAAGCTGTAGAAAAGGGAAAAAATAACAATCAAGCTTTGAAAGTGGTTATTTCAAGGCCCTAAGCTTTCTGAGGTAGCACTGATGGGCCGCACACTGAGATCTGCAAGGCATTTTTTTTCTTAGAAGTCTGTCTGCGCGGCTGGATGTT